CTAAAACAACATTACTTATGGTCAGTTTATTCCGCCATCATATTATCCAACAACGCCACAATCTTAAACTCATATGGGGCGGCCGACAGTTTAGTGACCAATAGCGCCGCGCCAACAACCGAGAGGTCGCCGGTTCCAATCCCCGAGCCGACCAGGCGAAAAATCTGCCGATGTGCCCTCGAGCAAGGCACTCAACCCCAATTGTTCCCATAAATCGCTCTATTCAATAGCGTCTGCCAAATTACCAAAAACGCACATGTAAATATTCTCTACTCTCTCACCCAACGCACGTCTACGCTCGGTGAGCAAGTTTAGAATAATAATAAAATAAAATTTAGAACACTCTCTCGCCAGATACCCACATGCGTTCCCAGCCATCTCCCAGTCTTTTCATGGCTCCAAAAGCCACACTTTCGCTCTCTCCAGCCCCCCTCCCCTCGCAACTCTACCTTTTTGAGGAGCTGTGAGGAGCTGCTTCTCGTCCCAGCGCGCCTCCAATATTCCGCCGTTACTCAAAGTACTCCAGTCCATTTATTTAAATCAAATAATTCCCACCTAATTAGTTAAAGTTTGTGCACGTTTATAAACCGAATTATTTCGGTCTAATTGTTTAACCAGTATTTTGCACGGTCAAACATCAAACGTTAAATCAAATAATAAACCAAATAGCCCAAACCAAGCACCTAAAACCAGTATTATTCTATGTCAAACATCAAACCTCAAATCAAATACTAAACCGAATTGTTTCGACACAACTATTCAAAAGCAGTATTATGCTATTTCAAACACCAAACGTTATATTTCAAATATATCAATTCAACCGTTTTACATTTACATTTACATTTACATCATTTAGCAGACGCTCTTATCCAGAGCGACCTACAAATTGGATAAGATTGATCCCCTACCCTGGGTCCTGTTTCAAAGGGTAGCTCTCGCTGAGGCAGACATAACGTCTCACTCAGAATATATGCTTGGTCTGTCTGTACAAAAACACACCAAAATTAAATTTAAAAAAAATCGTACATGCATAAAACTATAGAAAACACTACAGCATTAAGTAGAAAGTACAATTACTGGAGCCAAAGCCTTATTTTGAGATGTATCTAAATATAAGACTAACTGGAACAAAGCCTCTAGCAACTGTATATTATGCTGGTGGATATCTTGCATTATAACAGGAAGTAATCTCTCATGTTGATTTGCATCCATTAGGCTGCTACCTGCTGAGTCTTTCAGGACACTTGAGAGAACAATCTGACACTGATTACATTGGCCTGGCACTGGCAGCACAACCATTTTAGGACCATGCAGAGAATTAAAGGACAAACATTACGCGTAAACTAATGGCTTTACAAGTTACAAATCCAGGCTTGATGTTTTTTTTTTTTTTTTTTTTCATTCTGCATGAAAATGTTTGACAGCATTAGCATATTTTTCGATCTTGACTTCCATCACATATTTCATTTCAGTATGTCTACTTTACATGCGTATCACTATGTTTTTGTGCATCTGAAATAAACCTACCGATTTTTTTATGCATCTGATTAATTAAATCTATTTAAAATAAAAAACGAAAATGTGGGATATTTCATATTTCACAACATATGATTCACATTTAGTTCAGTCACACAATTCACCACTTTAGCTTTATGTTCCCAATTGTTTTTAACGGGTTATATGGTTTAAGCAACCACAAATCCAACAGTTATTCCCAAATTATACCGTTTGGACAGCCACAGACGTCTTAATATACAGGTTTATTATTTTTTAATAACACCTATTCACTATTTTATTTTGTCTGTGATCATTCGCGCACTCATGCATACAACAACACCCAGTGTCCCCCTGACTCTATCCGTATCTAGCATTTTGATACGTGTCAGTAGCGTAACACTATCTAAAATTTAAGTGGCCATTGTGATCCTAGCCATATCTTCAGTGGATATGTGCCACAACGTTACACTTTGATCAATTAATCCCTGTATCTCACAGTTACACCATTTGTGCTCCAGAGATTTCAGTATTTTTCTCAGAACCTAGCCATATCTCTTCTGGATATGTGTCTCAGAAACAATACTCAACTAAAATTTTTGGCGTTCCTCTAATCCTAGCCATATCTCTGATGGATATGTGTCAGCAGTCAACGCCCTTAGCCAATAATTCCCTGTATCTCACAGTTCTCACCCCTGGTGATCCTAGCCTGGAGACTTCAGTATTTTCCTCAGAACCTAGCCATATCTCTTCTGGATATGTGTCTCAGAAACAATACTCAACTAAAATTTTTGGCGTTCCTCTAATCCTAGCCATATCTCTGATGGATATGTGTCAGCAGTCAACGCCCTTAGCCAATAATTCCCTGTATCTCACAGTTCTCACCCCTGGTGATCCTAGCCTGGAGACTTCAGTATTTTCCTCAGAACCTAGCCATATCTCTTCTGGATATGTGTCTCAGAAACAATACTCAACTAAAATTTTTGGCGTTCCTCTGATCCTGGCCATATCTCTGATGGATATGTGTCAGCAGCCAACGCCCTTAGCCAATAATTCCCTGTATCTCACAGTTCTCACCCCTGGTGATCCTAGCCTGGAGACTTCAGTATTTTCCTCAGAACCTAGCCATATCTCTTCTGGATATGTGTCTCAGAAACAATACTCAACTAAAATTTTTGGCGTTCCTCTGATCCTGGCCATATCTCTGATGGATATGTGTCAGCAGCCAACGCCCTTAGCCAATAATTCCCTGTATCTCACAGTTCTCACCCCTGGTGATCCTAGCCTGGAGACTTCAGTATTTTCTCAGAACCTAGCCATATCTCTTCTGGATATGTGTCAAAGAAACAATACTCTACGGTACCAATGTTTTAACATCACATTCACCAGAGGTTTACATGTCACAATATTGTGCTTATCTACTCATAATAGTTTCATAATTTAGTTCACTTACATCAGACAGGTGTTTCACAAAATTAATTTGGATAAAGCCAATTTGCAGATCTTTGGTTATTTAACAACAGGTATCTGCTTACCTTTGTAGAAGCCCGGGCAGTTTGTGAAACACACGGTTCGATTAAAGAGTTGACCAAATGGGCCGGACATTTACCCAGCGAAGTCCCTTCTACCAGATCACGTCGGGGTCACCAATTGTCAATGTCGCGTCAATTCAAATCTGGTATCAGGAACAAAAGAGGTCAACACTACTTCTAAGGTATACTAGTTATTTTAATTAATGCAAAAACCTTCAATGGTAAATATGATGTTTCGTATATACGGGCTCTCTGATATGCCTCGCAGGACATTCCAGAGAACTAACACATTGCTTTCAGAAACAATACCCAAATACCCTGACAGAAAGTTTCCCACTTCTCTGCTGGCCAATTAGAGTAAAGACTTGAGCGTGGTTTACACTATCTCAGCCAATCCGTTGATGCAGTGGTTGCTCTCATCTCCTCGGCGCCATTTGTTACACACTCCAGGCAGACACAAGATTATCATAACAACCTGTCATAGTGAGAAGAGCCAGCTCCCTTAGACATCATTCCCATGTCAAAGGAAGACTCATAGATCACAATGAACCATTATAGTCTTGTATTTGAAGACACAATCCTTATCTTCTCTTCACATCAATCACAGCCTTGCCAGGTGTCACAGCCTACATTAGCCCAGTCAAGAATGCATTCTTTCTAAGTTAGTCATCCTATCAGTTTAGAAGAATAATAAATCCCTAATAGTACCCTGTGTGTTGGTTACACTAGTCTAAAATCCATGTACAGACAGCCCGACATGGTTAGGATGTGCTTCTACATTGGGGTGTGGTGATACACTCCCTCTCCTGGTTCACACCCCCAATTTGCATACAATTGAAAAATGTAAATGCTTAATGAAAAGAGAAAATTCTTAATTGGGTAGTTGGAAAATGAAAACAGCCAATGTCAATTTAACTTTACACTTAGCATTTTCTGTTTACCATTTACCTTTTTCTGTTTACCATTTACAATTTTTTATTTAGAATGTCTGTTTACCATTTACAATTTTCTATTAACTATTTTATTTTTTATTTTTAACTTTGCAATTTAATTGTGTCATGAATCATGCACACTGATATGAAAATAATTTCATTCTTATTTAGCATTTAATTTTCAAACTGGCACTGATCACCCTCCATAGTGTACCAGTCAGGTTTGAAAGACCCAGTGCAGTCAAAAACGTGATTTTCCTGTGTTTTATATATATTTCTACACACTATGAGGTTGGAATAATATGAAATTGTGAAAATTATGATAATTCCCTTTTAGTTTAGAGCTGTTTGAAAAGACTGCCTGAAATTTCAGCCTGGGCTGGGATGGAGTTTTGGCCTGCCTGGTGATAGATAGACCAATAAGTAAGCTCGTTCCAAACCTCTCTGCCAATAACAGCTAGTTTTCAGTTTTCCCCTCCCCACTCAGACCACTCCCAGACAGTCCTAGCAAAATTCTTGCTTGAGCTATTTTTGTTTATTTTTTAGAATTTTATTTGAAAAAAAACACAATAAGGTACTTAATTGTTATCCAGAAATGATTAAAATTGAGATAAAAACGGTTGCATTGGACCTTTAAAATAAGAGGATGATTAGAAAATAGTAGAAAGGAAAATAAAATAAAATGTTAAGAAACAAACATGGCATAAAACGTTTCATAACACATGTTGTTACATAGCCTAGGTATAATTGTGAAACCAGTTTTTCACTTTCTGTGTGAATTATTAGATAATTCATAGGCAGCCCATCCTATTTCTCAAATGATTTGGAAGCATATAGCCCACAGAAATCGACTCATTTTCTAGAAAGGTCTGATTGTTGTATTCAATTTCCATAATTCCAAAATCTTAATATGACATGAAGATGGCTTTTTTTTTGCCTAACTGAATAATTAATTTGTGAAGCCAGTCGATTAAATTCGTGGATTTTCACTCCGGTGATGTAAACATGCGCTCTAGAATGTTCTACGCACGCTCTGTAGGAAGCGTGTTTTGGTGTCAGATGCGCTGCTGTTAGCTAGCAAGCAGAAATATTGCAAGTCATGGTGGGCCATTCAATGGGGGGAAAGGGTGGATAATGACATTGTGTAATGCTAATAAAACATATGAGAGAACTCTTCTGAAATCAAATAATGGTTATAGAAGGTGGCCGACTTGTGGGCATACAGGCAGATGTATAAAATCTCCACGCGTAAGTATAAAATAGGTTTTAGCTAGCTAGCTAGCTATCTAACGTTAGCCAACTAGCTTTGCTAGCTAGCGAACGTTGGCTAGCTACATAACGTTAGCTTGTAGCTAATTGCGCTTGAATGTTTTGGACAAGCGACGTAAAGTAGGCGGATGCATTATCTGCTTCTTGTGTGTACGTTTAGTTGAGATTGGTAATGCAAGACATTGTTTTAAAATACATAGTAACAGTTAGCTAGCTAACGTTACATCTTAGCAATTTCTCTTCCCCCGTTGCTGTCACCTCAACATCCCGCCCCCATCTTTTCCCCATTGGTTAACATGTGTGAGACTCCAACGTTGTGATCGTATCCTTGGCTTGTGAATGGTTCACCAGCCTGTCAGTCATCTCTGCGCCACTTGTTGTTAGGGAGGTTGCTTGATATCGGAAATGAGCGCTATCAACACTTCCCTCTGGACGAGAAATACCGGTGGATGCTGGCTACGATGTTGATAGGCTGCCTACTTTGAAACATTATTGACAGATATACTGATGCATTATTTTTATTGCTATTATTTTAATGTAATTGTGTGAGTGATACATCGGTAAGCTGCAGATCTTGAAAAGCAAATGGATGAGAGGGAGACTGCTAGGGATGGGAGTCATGAAGCGTAGCTACTGGAGGAGAACCCGAGACCCTCCCTCTTTCACCTTCACATCTATTCCTGTTATGCACTGACCTAGGTGATGCATTTCAGTTGTTGTGCATTGTCAGGTTGGCTTGTCAAATTGGCCTTCTTGAATTGGGGTTGAGGTACAGTGTGTTCTCTAGAGACAGTGGTTTTCAAACCTCTCCTCGGGGACCCCCAGTTAACAATTTTACTGTAGCCCTGAACTAGCTCGCAAGGGCTTTATGATTAGTTGACAATTGGAGTCAGGTGTGTTTGCTCTGGAATAGATCAAATACATGGAACATTGTTTTTGCATTCATTGCCTCTGCACTGGCAGTGCATATGTTTGGTTTATGGTTATGAGTTTAGTGTGCGTTTGATTGGGCTATTCATGTTGGTTATCAGTGAATTTGGTCATCTTAAATCTTGTGTGGCTGACTGCCCATGGTACACGTTTGAGGAAAAGCAGGTTTGTTTCAATATCTGAGGCCATACACACATTTCATCTGGTCTGAACAATATTTGATGCATTCAGCTTCTGTTATGTCATGTAATATATTATTTTGACATTATGTAGTGTAATTTACATTTATTTATTTTTTACTGTGAAATCAGACTGTAGTACACAGGCTTAGGTTGGAGGATATTGAACCTAACATTTAATCTAAGCTTGTTTACTCAACTAATTCATATTTCTTTATCCTGTCATAAATTTTTTTAAAGCATCAATACCAAGAAAATAAGGTTTAATTTGGCCTTGATCTCTCTGTCTGTCTGTCTCTGCAGGTATGGGAGGACTTACTGACCTAGAACACGGTTTACCCTTTGACTGATATTGGATGTGCATTCAAGACCGCAGAAACCCTCTCTATTCTATTCACATTTTAAGCGAACTCTGCACAATACTGCGAAAAGAGAAAGTCGCAAAAGTCCCTCTTCTGTCGTATCTGCAATTTTCATACTTTAATTGTTTATCCCAGTCTTTATCTCAGTATCAACTATTGTGCCACTAGTTTGTCCCTTGTTTAAATTTTTTACTTTCACTTTTTGTTCCTTTGTAAAGAAATGCTTTACCTGAAAAAGTACTTCACAGAGGGCCTGATTCAGTTCACCATCCTCCTGAGTCTCATTGGGGTGCGGGTGGACCTGGACACCTACCTGAGCAATCAGCTGCCCCCACTGCGGGAGATCATCCTAGGCCCCAGCTCGGCCTACACCCAGACGCAGTTCCACAACCTCCGCAACACGCTGGACGGGTATGGCATCCATCCCAAGAGTGTGGACCTTGACCAGTTCTTTACCACCCGCCGGCTGCTGAACCAGGTGCGCCAGCTGGATCGCCTGTCAGTGCCCAGTCCAGAGCTGAGCACGTGGCTGGTGCACCGTGACCCTGAGACTGTGGTGTCCGCCGCCAGCCAGTCCAGCCCCAGCATCACCCTGGACAATGGGGCCGGCCTGGAGGACGTGAACAACTCCGAAGCCCCGGCCATGAGGGGTGGCGGCGGAGCGCCTGAGTCCACCTACAACCCGAGTGGCGAGGACAGCACCCTGGGAGCCGTGGCCCCCGAGGACAGCCAGGAGCAGAGCAACAGGGATGGCAACGATGACCTCACCAAAGAGGTAGGAAAGCATGTGATGATCTCACCTCTACTCAGGCTCACAAGACTATGCCAAGCTGAGGCATGGCACCTCTATTGTAATGTACAGGGAGGGATGTGTTACTAGGAGGATGTAGGCCTACTTCTCAGATTACTGTATTTAGCTGTATATTAGAGACGCCTTGTATGTGTGAACCTTGATAAATCACAATTGTAATATAATTGAAGTTATTTCTGGCATTATTGTGTAATCTGTGTTATTTGCATTATTGTAATGTCCTTGCATTAGAATCATCCGTGCCCCTAATAGTCACAGGACCACCACTGGGAGGCAGTGTGGTTTTGGGCGACACTAAGCCATTGTTAAAGTAGAATTAACTAAGTCTGAATGGATCACATTTTTATGGTAATTAAGTGGCTACGGTTGCATTAGTGGGCTTACATCAGGGATGGGCAACTGGCGGCCCCCGTGGATAGATATATATTTATTTTTAGGAACTCAGTTGGGGTCTCAAGTTAATATGTTGAGAGTTAGAATAGTAGAATACATCAGGTGCAATTTCGAAATTTGGTTGTGCGTCAGCACTTATGTCAGTCACTGACAGTCACTCAATTAGCCAATGTCAGCTCGTGTTTTGCCGGGGGGGGGGGGGTGTTAACTTAGGCCTCCAAAAGGCTAGGGCCAGCTCTGACTGCTAGTGTGGATATGCATTGATGTTGTGGTCCTCTGTAGCTCAGCTGGTAGAGCACGGCGCTTGTAACGCCAAGGTAGTGGGTTCGATCCCCGGGACCACCCATACACAAAAAAAAAAATGTATGCACGCATGACTGTAAGTCGCTTTGGATAAAAGCGTCTGCTAAATGGCATATTATATTATTATTATTATTATATGTTGGTATGCAGACCTGCGAGCCACTTCGGCCCCTCATTATTTTTTTATGGCCCCCACCCCATCAATTGCCCATCCCTGCTTACATGATCTGAAGTTACATAATCTGACTTTTAAAGTAACTGTCCAGTGTTTCAAGATTTCTATGAAATATTTCCTATAATTAATTATACTATGAGTGAAATAGTTTTCCTTCCAAAGGATAAGTATGTTAAAAAAGCAGCTTTTCTGTGTTAGAATGGTGTGGGCATACCCCAACAACAGAATGTTGTCTAGGCGTATACTGGTCATGAAAAAATATTCATGCCAGTAGACTGCTGATTGGCCAGCTCATCCAACTCATCCTCTGTGAGGAAATAGCAAGTCTGTTTGAGACACAAGTTTGAGGTGGGGTTTTTGAAGTGGATTTTTTTCTCCAATTTATGCTTTGGCCACATATGAGTATAGGATGAGTCAACAACATTATTTGGATATGAGCAAATAGAATATGACAATTTTTTATTGTATTATATATCACTCCTTGTGTTGACCTGAGGATGAAAACATCCAAATGTAATGCACACAGTATCACAGGTATAGGCATCTTTGATTTTTGCACCACAGTCAAGTACAGGACCGTCAAAGTATTCATACCCCTTGACTTATTCCACATTTTGTTGTGCTACCACCTGAATTCAAAAGGGGTTAAATATTAATTTTTTCTCACCCATCTACACACCATACCCCATAATGAAAAATCTTTTTTTTTTTTTTTTTGAAAGGAAATACAACATTCTCATTTCCATAAGTATTCACACCGATGAGGGAAGATATGTTAGAATTACCATTGGCAGCGATTACAGCTGTAAGTCTCTAAGAGCTTTGCACACCTGGATTGTACCATATTTGCACATTATTATTAAAAAAATTATTCAAGATCTGTCAAGTTGGTTGTTGATCATTGCTAGACAGCCATTTTCAAGTCTTGCCATAGATTTTCATGCCGGTTTGAGTCAAAACTCTAACTAGGCCACTCAGGAACATTCAATGTCATCTTGGTAAGCAACTCCAGTGTGTATTTGGCCTTGTGTTTTAGGTTATCGTCCTTCTGAAAGATGAATTTGTCTCCCAGTGTCTGTTGGAAAGCAGACTGAACCAGGTTTTCCTCAAGGATTTTTTTGCCTGTACTTAGATTTATTGTTTCTTTTTATCCCCCAAAACTCCCTAGTCCTTGCCGATGACAAGCATACCCATAACATGATGCAGCCACCACCATGCTTGAAAATATGAAGAGTGGTACTCAGTGTTGTGTTGGATTTACCCCAAACACAATGCTTTTGTATTCAGGACATAAAGTTAATTTCTTTGTGATGTTTTTTGCAGTTTTACTTTAGTTCCTTATTGAAAACAGGATGCATGTTTTGGGATATTTGTATTCTGTACAGGCTTCCTTCTTTTCACTCTGTCATTTAAGTTAGTGTTGTGGAGTAACTACAATGTTGTTGATCCATCCTCAGTGTTCTCCTGTCACAGCCATTAAACTCTAACTGTTTTAAAGTCACCATTGGCCTCATGGTGAAATCCCTGAGTGGTTTCCTTCCTCTCTGGCAACTGAGTTAGGAAGGAAGCCTGCATCTTTGTAGTAACTGGGTGTATTTATACACCATCCAAAGTATAATTTAATAACTTCACAATGCTCAAAGGGATATTCAATGTCTGCTTTTTTTATTTTTACCCATCTACCAATAGGTGCCCTTCTTTGCGAGGCATTGGAAAACCTCCCTGGTCTTTCTGGTTGAATCGGTGTTTGAAATTCACTGCTCGACTGAGGGACCTTACAGATAATTGTATGTGTGGGGTACAGAGATGAGGTAGTCATTCAAAAATCATGTTAAACACTATTATTGCACACGGTGAGTCCATGCAACTTATTATGTGACTTGTTAAGCAAATGTTTACTCCTGAACTTATTTAGGCTTGCCATAACAAAGGGGTTGAATACTTATTGGCTCAAGACATTTCAGCTTTTAATTTTAAATTAATTTGTAAACATTTCTAAAAACATCATTCCACTTTGACATTATTGGGCATTGTGTGTAGGCCAGTGACACAATCTCAATTTAATCCATTTTAAATTCAGGCTGTAACACATTTTTTTGAAAACGTCAAGGGGTGTGAATACTTTCTGAAGGCACTGTAGTTCTCTCTTTCCTTGAAGTGCTTTTTATTTAGAATTAAGTTGTGTAAGACAAGATGTTGTGCAACTCAATCAAGAGGGCTCTTTTCTTTGTAGTCCTAACATCTTTTTCATGTCATGTCTTTTTCAGGACATTGATTTGATTGACATCCTGTGGCGACAGGATATCGACCTTGGGGCAGGACGGGAAGTGTTCAACTATAGCAGCCGCCAGAAGGCGAGTGAGGCGGAAAAGCCCAGCCCGGAGGAGGAGGAGGAAAGAGCAGAGGCACAGGAGAGATGGAGGAATGGAGTGAACCTTCAAGAGGCTCAGCCTGTGGATGGAGAGACCGGGGAGAGCATACCAGAGCAGGTAGCTAAGGGCACAGATTGTGTTTTTCATGATCGTGTGTCCACTGCAGTTGATAGTAAAGGGAGTGACCTCTGTGCTGTCTGCTTCTCCCCCTCCCCTCCCCCAGCTCCCAGGCCTTGGCTCTCAGACCTCACTGTCCCTGCAGGAATGCCTAAGGCTGCTGGAGGCCACCTTCCCTTTCGGAGAAGAATCTCCTGAGGTAAAGACATTTGCAAGCTGTTTTAGGAGACAAGCATCTTGAAATTAAGTTAAACAAACCATGATATTACAAATGCTATATTGACATTATAGGCTAAGGAAATCCCAAAAATTATTGTGAGACTTTTAAAGGTAAACATCTTATCAGTTTCCAGCCCCTGTAGTCACAGCTGAGCTTGCGGTGGCCAATGAAGAAGCTCCATCCACATCTCGGGGCCTACCACAGCCTCCCCCGTTACCCCAGCCTGTGCCCCAGTTGGACCTGGAGCAGCAGTGGCAAGACATCATGGCTATCATGGAACTACAGGTTTGTCCTTGCGCTTTAATCACAACTGGTTCTCCAGTAAAAAAAGTTTTGTTAATTTCTCTAACCAATTTTTTCTCTTTTGAAGGAAATGGAGGTTAATAACACCTCCGAGAACTCCTTCCTCAGCACTACTTCCAACAGTGCCAATACCAGTGGCAGCACAAGCGAGTCAGACTCCGTTGGAAGCTTTGGACTTACTCGTTCCTCCACCCTTATCCACCAAGATGTCAGCCTTCACCAGGCCTCCCTCCCTAGCTGCAGCCAGGACTTTCCCACACTTTTCAATCCAGTGATAGATGCCACTAGCACCGCACGGCCCCCCTTGCTTAGAATGTCCTCCAGCAACTCCTCCAACGTCAACTCTACATTCGGAGCCACCAACCTGACTGGACTCTTTCTCCCACCGCCTCTGAACAGCACCAACAACATCACTTCCACCCCAGTGGTGCCTGATCCCTTCAGCAGTCTGCTGGAGGAGTCTATGCTGGATGAGATCAGTCTGCTGGACCTGGCAATGGAGGAGGGCTTCAGCCAGGCCCAGGCCTCTCAGCTGGAGGATGAACTCGACTCGGACTCAGGCCTCTCCCTAGACTCCAGTCACAGCCCAGCCTCCCCGAGCAGCTCTGAGACCTCCTGCTCCTCCGCCACCTCCTCCTCCACCTCTGCCACCTTCTCAGAGGAAGGGGCTGTGGGATACAGCACTGACTCTGAGTCAGCCACTGTGGAACCAGAAGAAGGTGCTGTGGGGGGCTACCAGCCCGAGTTCAACAAGCTCTGCCGCATGAGCTACCAGGACCCCTCCCAGTTCCACGGGCTCCCTCAGCTCGACAACATCAACCACAATCACACCTACAATTTACCACTATCTTCATCGTTCGATGAACACCCAGAGCTACCGATTCCCACTGGCAAGAAAATGGGCCGTGAGAAGCAGTCAAAGCTTCAGCCCCAAGAGGACTTCCTGGACAAACAGTCGAGTCGCGACGAGCGCCGGGCTCGGGCCATGAAGATCCCCTTCTCAAACGAGAAGATCATAAATCTGCCTGTAGAGGAGTTCAACGAGCTTCTGTCCAAGCACCACCTGAGCGAGGCCCAACTGGCCCTCGTCCGCGACATTCGTAGACGTGGCAAGAACAAGATGGCGGCCCAGAACTGCCGCAAGCGCAAGCTGGATACCATCATCAACCTGGAGCAAGGGGTGCACGACCTGCGTCGTGACAAGGCGCGGCTGCTGAAGGAGAAGATGGAGTTTATTCGCTCCATCCGCCAGATGAAGCAGAAAGTGCAAAGCATCTACCAGGAGGTGTTCAACCAGCTTCGGGATGAGGAGGGCCGGCCCTACTCCCCCAGCGAGTACTCACTCCAGTATAGCGCCGACGGCAGCGTTCTGATCATGCCCCACACCATGACAGATCAGCAAACCCGTAAGCCCGAAAAGAAACAAAAGGACAAAAAGAAGTGAGGAGGAAGCTGTTGCCTTTTCTTTCATTTTGCTAAAGTCACGAAGGAAGATTTCTGCAGATGCAAGAGAGATGTCTTTTTTTCTTTGAGAAGATTCTTGTGAGAAGAAACTGCATTGTTGACTACTTTTCCTGCATTAGGTTTTTTTCCTTTTCTTTTGTGGTTCCTGTGTTTTCTCTCGGAAACGACTTTGAAGCAGAAGTTCTTAATTTGAATACTGAATTTTCATTGTTTGGGTGGAAAAAAGGAACGAACAAGGAAAATAAGGGGTTGAATGGTTTCTCTGGATCTTTGGTACCAGGCCATGTTGTTATTACTTCATGTTATGCAGTGAAGAGACTGGTATCAAGTGAAGTCCGAGTTAAAGGAAAAACAAACATTTAGTCAACATGAAACGGTGTAATTCCAGTCCATTGTTAGTCAGCTTTGAGCGGACTGTTAAACCAGTTTTCTTGCTTGGGCCTTGGGAGTGATTGTTGGAGTGACTGTTTCTGGAGTAAGTAGAAGTTTCACATGTAAAGGAAAGCTAAGACCGGGCCTGGAGATGTCAAGGGTTAAGATACCAGAGGGGTAAACCAAGTCCATAATCTTAACAATACCGCAAATACTAACCAAATGTGTGGCACTTCACTTGTTCTCTAAGCAAATGTCTAGCTAGTCTGACACTGCACTCACTCAATGTGTTTATTACAAATACCACCGTTTTTGACTGGCCATTGACTTTGAGTCCCTTTGATGTAGAACTAGGACACTGGAACACAAAAAAGAGAGGCTTGGAGAGTATTCTTGGGCTTGCCATGATGTATAGGAGATGGGACGCTGAGGAAGAAGGCACACACTGCGTTACAAATGTATCAGCTTCTGTATATCTATATAGCACTGTAATTTGTCCTTCTAAGGCTTGGCTGTATGCATCGTGCCGTGTCTCTGGCTATCCCTCTGCCGCAGGTTTAAGGATGAGCTCTGCTGGTAGTCTTAGTTTTCCACACATCCTCATACTGTCCAGAATAAGCTAGGTTAGAGGTCTGGCTTCATCATGTTGGGTCTACTCCCTGCCCGTATTGCATCGCACACTGTGTGTTGTGCCTGTAACCACATTGCAGGAATTTTACAGGCCAGGGAGACTCACAATATTGATTTTGATAGCCGTCTTTGCAGGAAGTACTGTATGAACTGCAACCCTGTGGAAGTGTCCCGTTTATTACAAATCAAATGCACCCATCTTTACTATCATTAAGATTAGATTGGTTTGTTTCTTGTAAGGTGACAGAGATAAGCCCTTTGGCTGTCCAGTAATTGCATAGTGGTAACCTTTGAAAGAGTTACTTGGGAGTGGTCATTCTATTTGATAGTTACCTGAAGCAATGGACAAGACAGTTGATGAATAGCCTAGTTGTCAGCTGTAATAGTTTACGGTCATACGTGTCATTAGAAAAGTAAACCAACTGAATCGAACTGAGTGAACTGACAAGGATAATGTGAAGTGAGAGCCTTGTTTTCGAATGCCTTTGTTTCACAAGCACATTTCTAAATTCAAGGGTTTTGAGAACAAAGGTTATTGGACTGTTATCAGAACATTAAAGTGCTATTGCCTGAGCTTGTGTGTTTTATTGGGGTCAAATTGTGTTTTAGCATGTACCCCTAACCAAAAAAAGATCATTAGGCCATTTATTAATGCAGCAGAGATAGCTGTTTAAAGATAATTTGAGTACATTTGTGAACCCCTGATCTATAGTGAAGGATGGGAAAGTTGCTGCACTGATGAGAATGTCCTATGTTCTTATTCATCCACATAACGTTCATAGTTATCACTACCCTCAGAGGGGAGCCAAGTAAAAATACTTTGCTTTTAAACAGATGTTTCATGCAGTACTAATACTTTCGCAGGAAAAAAAGTTGCTGTCTCAATTTAAATGAAAAAGTTGTTAGTTCTCGCACTTTAAAACATTTGACATTAAGACATGCAAACATTCACCTGCATTGCAACACAATGCAAAGGCCACTTAAGTTATTACTTCTTAGTGCACTGCTTTTGTTAATTGTCTTGTTTGTTCTGTAAATATTTTCTTGTGTTTTGTCATTCTTTTGCTGTAGTTTGTCTGCATTTTGCACAGCCCGCTTTGGGTTTGTTTGTGTAGTTTCTTTGGTTTACTTTGAAATATTTGCTGGCAATCTGGGATTGTTATTTTATTGATTAATAAAGTGTTTGTTTTTTTCATCTGTGACTGCATCATTTACATGATTAATAACGAGGTGAAATGTGTCCATAAAAGTATACTTTGGGGGGAATAGAATGTCTGATCATTAGGTTTTGTGAAGATAAATACATAAGGCCTTAATGTATCCAACTATTTACACAAACTTGAACTTAGGCTGTCAGAATGAGACAGATGACAATTGTAACAAGTTTATTCTCCAAAAACAGACAAGCAAGTCCTGTTAATGAAAATGTTAGAATGATAAGATGGACAAATGAGCAAAGTAAAAAGATATGGTTTTCAAAAATGTTTTGTCATCTCAATACACTAAAACCGTCACAAAATGAGCAAAGATTTACATCGTTTTGCACTATAAGCTACAAAACATTTACATAGAAAAACTAAAATGGCACCGTTGACTTGTTTACAAGACTATGAATGATAAAATTTCCACCAGCCTATACACTAATGTCAAAGACCAGGACCTCTTACTCAACTGCCATGTGAAAATGATCTCGTAGTATCCAAATAGTCACTGGAGTGAATCTTAAAACATTTAACACTGCATTATACATGTCTTCCAGGGTTGTGTTTCCTCAAGAGAACCCATAGCCTGTATTGACTTTGGTCATATCCAGATAGATTTTAACCTGATGGGTGATATTAAACCAAAAAGGGAGTCCACATGCTGTCGTGCTTGTCTCAGACCCTCTGCCTAGAGCCCCATACGCCCTTAACACTACCTCTATAGTCTTCAGAACCAGCTTGATACCTCACACCGCTCTCCAAACGGCTAGTTCTTGTCATCCTTCTTCTCCTCCTCCTCAGTGGGGTAAGAGTGCCACGTGAGCCGCTCCTCATAGAAGGATATTACCACCTGTGGACACTTCACATTTGCTTCCTTAGCTGGTACCAGGTCTGCTTCATCCGAGTTTTTCCTACAAGAACAGGCCGTGTGGAGAGAACCACGAGTTGGATGAGTACTTAAGTGGTGGGTTCTGGCTAGTTCTGGAATTGTAGTGGTGCTATGAAATAGGCAGGATGCACAGAATGAGGAGATTGAAGGCAATGGATCCACTTTCTTTTATTGATGCATACACATGATAAACAGAGAGCACAGGGTTATGTGAATTGACAGGTACATGGTATGCGCAACATGAGTTGACTTGCTACTGCTGCATGATTAGGTCTAGTAGTAACCAGTATAAATAAAGGTCAAAAGAAATGAAAATGAATAGGGCAATACAAACCATTTCATGAGGAACATGAGTTCTCCAGTGGAGTCAGTGGCACCAATAATCCTTTCTGGATCCAAACCTCGAGCAAAGCCCCTTAGTTTCTCTGGCTAAAACACAGGGAGAGTGTCACTCAATGTCACTAAATGTGAAAAAGACAAAACGATGCCATCTGTGTACACGCTTCTCTCTTTAGGACTTACGTCATCTTTTTTCTTCTTGGGTCGACTTTCCTCTCCTTCCACACTAGGCTCTGCAGACTTCCTCTTGCCTACAGACTCATGAGCTGATTTCTGTTTCTGCAGAAACTGTGCAATCAGGTCAGGACAGTCCAAATTATCCTCTGGCTCCCATGTGTTGTCATCACTGAAGAAACAAAGGCAGTGTTAATTAAGCCAGAAAACAGCATTGGAGTGAAAGAGGGGTTTTGTTTGGTCAATACAAACATTCCACATAGGGATACAAAAATACATATCACATCTGTATTGTGTAAACTCACTCAGAAAAGCCTTTCCACTTAAGAAGGTACTCCACTCTCCCTTTCACCACCCTTCGATTCAAAACTTTCTCCACCACATATTCTTCTTCCTCTTCCTCCACGGCCACAACATCCTCAGCCTTCTTCTCCTGTGTCTTCTCAGCCGGCGTCGTCATCGTCACCTCAGACTGGATGGGGGCTGTTGTTGCAGGGTTAATGTCAGCTGTGGGTGCAGGAACAGCAAATCACGTCTCCAGACAACGCCCACTCTGTTGACGGTGACACTTATACTGAACTTTTCATTAAAGGGGAAACCCCCCGTTGAAACAATAAAGTGACTCCCCGCCTCTGTTTTGGTAAAAAGCTAAGGGATGGGCCTGGAGAAATTTCACCAATCTCAAATTCATAGACAGCGCTATGGTTGCAGGACTGACCACCCAAGATATCAAAATGATAGTTTTAAGCATGTTGAGGCTATAGTGTTTGGTTACATTTACTATGTTTACAAACATTGGAGAAAAACAAGCTTATATTTTGGGTTCTGATGGGGTGTGACAGCTTAACTAAGTTAATGAGGCATTTAAGTTATATTTTTCAAGAATTACTGTGTATTCAGTCATGACTGAAATTATTGGCATCCTTAATAAAGATGAGCAAAAAAGACTGTATAAAATAAATACAAATCCTGAGCTATATTGTATGCAAAAAAATAAAAAAAATAGGAAATTTGATTACTTTATACTAACACAATTGCTCAGAGAAAGAGATTTTGTTTAACAAGTCATAAAAAAAAGTATAAAAGATAGGAGTAAAGTTTTCCGGCACACTCCCCTTGCAAGGATAACAGCACCAATCCTTTTTCTAAAACGTTTTATGAGATTGAAGAACACATTGGGAAGGATCTTAGACCATTCCTCTATACAGAATCTTGCCAGATTCTCGCTATCCTTCGTCTGCGCTTATGGACAGCCCTCTGACAATTCAAACCATAATATTTTCAATGGGGTTCATATCCAGAGACTTTGATTGACCACAAACTTTGATTGTGGTAAATTAACCATTTCTTTGTGGAATTTGATGTGTGCTTGGGGTTATTGTCTTGCTGCAAGATCCACTTGTGGCCAAGCTTCAGCCTCCTGGCCAGTGGCGATTTTAGCATGTAAATCTTGGTGGGGCAAAGAAACAAAATAAATGTTGGGGATGCATGCCAGCAAAACTACACAACGCAACACTAAACAATACATTAATTGCACTATAACGATGACAAACTGTGCCCACAAACTGTTAGGGCCTACATAAAGCTGTCCCAAAAGCAGAGTCCCAACACCTTACCACTGCTACACCTGGCTATCAGCGGAGCCTTGTCTGGCATCGAAACAGTTCATTCAGCCTCATTTAATGCCTTTTTTTTTAAAACATAGCTGATATGGCTGACTTGCTAAAACAAATGTGGTTTCTACTGACAATTGAGATGTACAAACTATGGCATAAGGGGACAACAAGCGGATAAGAGGCAATCCGTAATTTCGATTAAGACATTAATGAGCGAGCTAGGACGGACGTAGTCAATATCACTATTTGTTCAGCACTTTTGAAATGTACAGCGACAGAATTCAGAACATGGGCCGTTCTTACAGTGTTCTCCCTGTACACCAAGTCAGAACCGTAGGATAAATAAAGGGGACATATAAGCAGACAATGAAAGCTCTTACAATATTCAATGATTACATTTCTCTAAAACAGGTTCTAGGCTACATGTCACCACCATGTCAGAACAGTAGGTGAAATTAAGAGGGGAAAATAGACCAAATTATTAGGGTGAGGCACATGGGCTACTAACAGCTTACTACAAAACATACACATAGTATTACTTCCTTAGCTACAGTATAAATATCTCCTTGGCATATTACATCATTTATGCAGCAGCGTACAATACATTTTTGGACTCACCTTGTTGTGCTGTGCTCACTTGAACAGGAAGGTGGCGCGGAAGTCCTTCGTGGGAAAATTTTGTCATCAAAGTCTGGCATTCTTTGGATTTATGGTGCTTTCAAGACAACTAGGAACTCTGGAAAAAAACAAGGTCGAATCATGATGACGTCAGTGATCTTCAGGTCGTAGCTCTAGAAAGAGGCCCGAGTTCCCGACTTACAATTCCGAGTTGGATGACCGTTCAAAACGTATTTTCCCAGTTGGAGCTCATTTTTCCCAAGTTCCCAGTTGTCTTGAACTCACTGAAGTCAGATTTCCCAGTTAACAGTTGTTTTGAGCACAGCAGATATCATGCTGGATTGACAGCATGGCCAATGTTAAATGTTTATCATTTTAAGCTTGGAAGAGAGACCCTTAAACCCAGAATTGGGACCACACATCCACTCCACTGAATAGCAGGCTAGTGATTGCTTTGCAATGCTTGCAGTTAGCCACTGATTCCTTCCAAACCACTCGTTGTTGAATTTGCAATCTCCAACTTATTGTGTAATGTTTATGTCTAATGGCCGATGAGCACGATACGTTTTATCTATAACTTCTCTTCATTATTTCTCTTCATATGATAAGGATTTGCCAGTAGATAGTTGACTTGATTCATGATGATGACTGCTAGCTAAGATTTTGAAAGCATGATGTTGACATGATCAGTCCAATCAAAGCTACTGTAGATATAATGTGATTTGACGTCATTTTATCTGTGGCCAATTACCTTGAGCCTTCTTGGATGGGCACTTCTAATATAACTCTATGGCAGCACCCAAGGGGCTTGAATTTTCGAGCTCTAACCTTAGATTTGGCAGTGACATAGTGTCCCCATGAGTGACAGAACACTGAGCCAATCACGGCGCAACTAGAGAACATTACCAACCCCTACGCTCCGTATTTTCCGCTGGCTGCCCCAACACCCACCACAGAAAGCACTGAGCTTGGCTGAAACCTGCATTTTGAAGCTGCCTTACTCAAGAAAGCAAAAAAGAAACCATGTTTGTATGCGGCTTTATTAACTCAAAGATTATAATTTTTTAAAATTATACATTGTTTGCAAACTGATATGTGACATGTATTAATGCCAAAATAACATGCAAAACAGGCACTGCCCCACCTGCCCTAAATGACGGGTCGTCACTGCTCCTGGCAGAGGCAACCAGGTTTTTGGCTAAAATGTCCTGGTACTGGGTAAAGTTCATGATGCTGTTGACCTTAACAAGAACCTCAAGACCAGTGGAAGCAAAATAGCCCCATAACATCAAAGATCCACCACCATATTTTACAGTAGGTATGGGGTTATTTTCCGCTTATCACATCCTTCTTTCGCCACCAAACCCACCACTGGTGTGCGTGGCCAAAGAGCTCTATTGTCATGTCATCTGACCATAGCACCGGTTCCAATCCAATGCCATTTAGCAAACTCCATACGTTTACATTTGTTGGATGACTGAAAAATAGAGCTCTTTGGCCACACACACACACCAATGGTGGGTTTGGCATCGAAAGAAGGATGTGATAATAACCCCAAGCACACATCAAAACCCCAAAAAGAAATTGTTAATTTACCCCCCCAAAAAATCTACATTTTGCAATGGCCATCTCAGTCTATGGACATGAACCCCATTGAAAACCTGTGGTTTGATTTTGGAGAGGGCCGTCCATAAGCGCAGACGAAGGATATCAAGGATCTGGGAAGATTCTGTATGGAGGAATGGTCTAAGACCCCCCCCAATGTGTTCTCCAATCTCATAAAACATTTTAGAAAAAGGCTCAGTGCCGTATTGAAAACAGGGGTGCTATTAATTTTGACCCCCCTTTTTTCTTCTTCTTCTAGTACATGTTTAATAAAATCTCTTTCTCTGAGCAATTGTATAAAATAATATAATTTCCCCCCTTTTTTGAGCATACAATAGCTCAGTACTTTTTATTTTATACCATTTTCTTGCTAATCTTTATAAAAAAATGGATGTAGAAACTACAGATTGTCCCTTTAAAGCCTACAAATGCTAAGCTCTATGGCAAGGCTCTCCAACCCTGTTCCTGGAGAGCTACCGTCTTGTAGGTTCACTCCAACCTTAATCTAGCGCACCTAATTCTTATAATTAGCTGGTTGATAAACTGAATCAGGTTACTTACAACTGGGGTTGGATTGAAAACCTACAGAATGGTAGCTCTCCAGGAACACAGTTGGAGAGCCCTGCTCTATGGCATCTTGTGAGACAGGTAGCCTTACCTTTTGAATTGATATACTGTAATTCAGTGAAACACATGAGAGGTAGATGGGAAAGTCACAACACTGAGTGCCACACATAAATGATAAACACCTATGTTTACCCATAGCTGCAGAAGTAGATTTGTTAGTAGAAATAGCAGCTTGACTTTTACAAAAACATATGCTCCCTTACCCCACACAGACAAAACAGTGAAATTGTATATATGAAAAATTGTATAAGACCTTCAGTAAGAGTGGGAGCATCATTAGAAGGTTCTGTAATCTCGCTCATACTCATCAGGTAGACCGTGGGACCAGCAGTTGGTTCCTGGTCAAAGTCAAGAATAGGGCAATGGGGGTCAGGAATGAATAAGGTATAAAGGAAAAAAATAACATTGGAGAGAAGGTGATTCATGAGTGGCTACATGTCTATATATCAATGTTTTATTTTTTTGGTACTTTTTACACCTTTTTCGTGATATCCAATTGGTAGTTGCAGTTTTATTTCCTGTTCTCTAGCAGGGGCCCTTGACGTAGGTGGGTAAAAAAGCATGTAAGAACTTTAGGGAGTGAATGGTTATTACAGGTTTACTAAGCCTAATGTCACAGTAAGTTGTTTAATGTTTCGGTAGATAATTAAAAGGGATGTGCGTCAAGAGACCAGTGCGCAAATTTCAAACATCCAATGAGCACAGCGCTCAAGAGAAGCACGAGAATATGGATAGGTTGGTCACCTGCAGCTCCAATTTTAATTACTGTGGCCATCATGCAGGAGATGGTGCATTAACACACATCCTTCGATCTGTACAACAATCAAAGGGCTAGCTAGCTACCGCTTACAATACGAGGTGATACCAAAGTCAAAGATCGTTTAGAAACTATTTGGTCATACTGTATCATGATGTGCAAATAATGATCAGTTAGCCAAAGATGGTTTGAAAACTCAGTTAACAGTCTAGCTTGCTGCCTGTGTTATTTAGCTATTTAACAAGATAGCCAGCTTTACAGAGTCATGGTCCAGCAGCGAGT